TTTGCGTATAAACTAGTCTTTATGCAAAATTTTACTTTTTTGGATTTGTTATTTGCAACGATGCACAAAGCGAGTGGTTTTGGCCATGTGTAATTTAAACGTCAATTTACACTACTCTTATATATCTACCCCACACTTTACGATTGATTTTGGGTTCCTTTTATGTTTAAGAACTTCTAAGTAGCTTACAAGAAACCAAGTTAAAAAGTACTCACTAATTTTGTTTTTGTTTACTTTATTTATACCTCTGGGAAACGGCCTCGTAGCTACCGCATTTTAATCTTTATACCAGTTATAGCCAGTTATCACCTTAATTCGCGGATCAATTTACATTGAAATTCTGCTCATTCCCGAAGATGTTATTGTTGTTTTAACCCTTTGGTGAGTCGTCACTTTGTGCGTCACAAAGGTATATCTTAATATTCATAAAAGTTCTTTTAAATATTGGTTTAATATCTTTCAATATCGGTCAAAAAACTAATCAAACTGTAGTTTCTATAAAATTGTAGCGTAATTTATGATTCTTTAATTGTTAAATCTATCTAACAAAGGGCTCTTAACGAATTCTTAGATAATATTTCAAATCGGACATTTATAATAATACCGTAAACCTTGATATTTTTCGAAAAAAAAAAAGTTTTTAATTCCACCTAGTTTTAGTTAAATTATCCACTCAGTTATTTACAGATTGATTCGAGTTTCATATTATAAGGCGACTTCTTCAATTGTTTTTTTTATAGTGAACTGTCATTAAAAAAATCTCTAGTATCGGAACGGATGCAATTGGTTTGGAATTATTTTTTTCACTCTTTAGTACTCTTTATCTCGCGTCAAAAAGCGGCATGAGTTTTAGTAATATTTTTGTTAACTTTGTTTAGAATAAAACAAAGTTATTTGTATCCATGGTACCCCTATTTCCCGAAAATAGGGGTACCATGGATACAAATACAATATTTGTTAATTGTTGTAATTATTCTAAAACCTAAATTTATAAATATTATTATAGGTTTAGTTTCTACACTTTGTATGCGAGTTGTCAAAACAATTTGCCTCCCTAATAGAGTTCCAGCCTACTCTGTAAATGCAGCTTCCAAAAAAAGTGTTTAAATAAAAGAATAACAAATAAACAACGCATAGACAAATAGTAAACGAACAAAATAACCGTTTCTATTTGAAATAGATACTCTTGTCCCGCTCAAAGGGGAGAAACAACTCAGATCACTAGACGTCGTATTGGGGAAATCTGTTATCATTATTTTGATATTATCTACCTACCTACCCGCCACTATGTCATAATAATGACAAGGTAAATAATATCTTGTTGCAGAACTACACACTGACAACAAGATTAACGAACTACGGGTACTTTTCAGCATAACGCAACTGAACGTCAAAAAATAATGAAGCAACATGGAGTCTGAGCCCGATCACACATCAGGTACACATATTATTATTATTTGTGCAGACCATGTTTCACGGCACAGAACTTTTTTTTTATTTAGTTTATTTAAAAAATAAATGCATTTTATTTTGATACGCATTGATTTTGATAAAAACAATACAAAGCGCTTTGCAGATGTTAGTATGTACGTATGCATACCTAAATAGGTAAAGGTAATAAAAACATAGCCAAACCAACTAGGTTTAATATCTGAAACGAAATAAAACAATAATATTTATCACATAAACAGCCTTTAATAGTCCACTGCTGGACATAGACCTCTCCTTAGAAAGGAGGTTTATATAAGAAGTTTGTTCAAGGTTTATTAATATAAGAAATGCGTTTATAGGTTTTTGACATACATAATTATTATTATTTTATTATAAAACCCTTAATGTTGAAAAAAATAAAAATTACTCCAATTTCAGAAAGTGAAGAAAAAATATAAGGGGTTTTTATCATGTACATTACATGTCACGAATTCTAGCCGTATTACACTACCACATTCATACATATACTTTTCTTTAATGTTCAACGCGTCGTCAAGCCTTTAAAAAACTTCAAAAATAAATTGAATATATGTCAGTTCATCACATTTTTTGTGCGAATGTTTAATATAAAATTTAAATCTAACCTACTTGTATTTAAAATTTAAATATTTTAGTACAATTGGAATAATAAAATAAAAAATTACATATTTTAAGTCCACGCATAAAATTAAGGATTAAACAGAACAAATCTTCATCCAGTAAGCAGATAACAGCACGCGGGATCTAAAATATATAAATATATATATCTTATATATAAAATTCTCGTTTCACAATGTTAGTTACCATACTCCTCCGAAACGGCTGGACCGATTTTTATGAAATTTTGTGTGCACATCGGGTATGTCTGAGAATCGGCCAACATCTATTTTTCATACCCCTAAATGACAAGGGTGACCCACCCCTAATTTTTTTTTCAATATCTCGTAGAAATAATGGAAATGGCAAAACAACGTTTGCGGGGTCAGCTTATATAGTATAGTATAGTAATCCATAGAATAAAATCAAAATTATCATAGAGTAAAATGTTCCGTGCACATTAGTCAAAAAAGTTTAGTAGTAGTAGATACACTTAAATACCTAGTTTAACCAAACATTCGTTTCATGTCCGTGTGGTGACGGATTAAGAATACGGAGTGTCACCCAATGATTACGGCCATGGTACGGAGCGATAGCGCGTGGAATTCCCCAGCCTTCTTCTGTGAGCAAGTTATGCTTGCGAAGGAGACGGCGGAGTTGGACCGTGAAAGATATAAACCTCTTCCGGTCCAATCGTCTTAAAGTGCTTTTATTATATTAGAATCCTTTAAACGATCTAGGTTATACTTAGATGGATAACTCTCAAGAAATGTCGTTGTCGTTCTGATAATTTGATTATAGAGAATAGTAATTTAGCAGTCAACCTTGAATGAATTAAAAAAATGAATCCATCCATACATATAATGAATATTTTATTAAGCACTAGCTGGTACCCGCGACTTCGCGTGGAATTTGAAAAGCGCTGCCTTAGTGGGTTTGGTTCTCGGACCGGGTAAAATTAGCCTAAGTTTAGCGTAACTTAAATAGACAGCTACCTGGTAGAAAAATATTATGAAAATCGGTCAAGCCGTTTAGAAGATTAAACGGACCAAACAGACAGACAGACAGATAAAAAAATTGTATACTGGTTTTTAGGCATAGGTATCGTGCAAATAACCGTGTGAGCATGAAAAAAAACCTATTATTTTGATATTACAAACAAACACTTCAATTTTATTTTATTTTGTTTGTATAGATTTAACAATCCAAAATAATAAACAATAATTTATAGTAAAGTACTACAATCTACAACCAACAAAAAAATAAATAAAAATAGAATATTAAAATATGCCTACCGATAATAATAATGATTAATAAGTAATGTCTGATAGAAATTTATATTTTTTTGCTCATTACGCAGTTTAAATTGTTCCCTTGCAATTAATGATGAATAAAATTATAATTAATTATCCTGAAGTATTATACATGATAACAAAGATTTAAATATCTAAAGTTTAAGTTTTCAATAAGAAAGAAGTTAACTTTTTAAAGATTTTTGTGTTGCTACAGTGTCCGGAAGTGAAAACATCGAATATTCACCATCAACCTTAGAGTATATACTTGTAGAGAAGAATTAGCGTGGCCAGTCTCGAAATAAAAGCAAATATTAAAACAGAATAGCTTATTTACTTAGTTTTAAATCGAAGTTATTGTTTCCTTTAGTTTTCAAAATCCTACATTACACAATTTAGTTTGTTATTCTTTTTTGTGTGATGGTCTTAGTACGTGAATTTGTAACGTGTTGTTGGTGTGTTTGCCAGGAACACGAAAAAGCTTTCCAAAATCCAATCTTATAATTCTTCTCAGGTACCTATTGATACCATAGAGATAATACAAATCACTATGATTGATACTTACTTTGCTGCTACTAGGTAATACTAGGTACAAATTTTCATATTCGATACTTTTTGAATAATACTGAACCCGATAACGAAATTATTACATACACGCCGATCAAATATCGTCAACTTCTAAAATCTTGGAACCCAAGTTTGAAAATATGCATTTGATTGGAAGTAAAATCAGTATTATTTTTGTTGGAAGTAAAATCAGTATTATTTTTGCAGCAGCTACCGGCTGATCTATGCAACAATGACGAATAAGGTTTTCAGAGTTATCTGAGAATTATTGCTAGAACTCAAGTAAGACGTTTTGAGGAAAAGTGATAAAACCAACCTTTAGTTGGCAACCCCGATTTCCGTTCGAAATCAAATTAAGTAGAAGTGTGGAGTGAAATAAAAGAAAATATTTTGTTATTGTCCATATTATTTTTGTCAGATATTTTAGATTATTTTATATTTGATTCTAAACTATGAATAAATTACAATCAAACTTGATTAAACTTTGTTAATGATCATCATTATTCCAAAAATATTTTTAATTCGATTTGCCTAGAATTTATTACATTCGCCTATTATTGAAGAAGTATTTAATATGATACTAGTACCTACTAGTATCACTTAAATGTAAAAAAAATACAATATCTAAGTTTTTGGAACGACGTCTTACTTGTCATTCGTCATAAAGATTGTCATACTGATGAAATCCCAAATTTCATCAGTTCTCAGAATTATTTCAATGAAGCCTTAAGAAACAGATGCTTAAAAATATCGTCTCTTCTTTTATAGTAGGTTCTAAAGCGAAATAACTTCTGAATTCTAGTGGATAGAGTGATTTCTTTAGCTCAACACTATTTATTCCTTCATTTCGGTCATTAGCTCAATTCTTATGAACCAGTTCATTCCATTTATATTAAATTCATCATTCACTCCGCAACGTGAACGGAACGCGGTTCAGTGGAATGGAAACATGTCCGCCGTTTGTGTTATTTGATGTAAATATTGACGAAAATCAATTTTCTGTTTTCGTTTGCGTAGTGATTATTGGTGCTATTTCGTTTTATAATGTGTGTGGATGTGCAGTGATCCGTTCATATGAGGCTGCTATATAAAACTGGTCCAATGGAGTCACTAAGAAAGTGGTTCTACAAACCGAAGGTACGTCAACACTTTATTTCAACAATATTCATTCTCAAAAGGTAAATAAACAGTATTATTTTAGTTTAAATAATTACTGTGGATGTATAAGTGCGAGCAAATAATCTGAAAACGTTTCGTAAGTGTGTTATTTTACAATCACGATTCACAAGTTGCTATTCTTTGTTAGTTTGAATTGGTGTGATTCAGACGATGTTTCTGTGTGATTTGCCTACTACCTACCATTGTTCTGATCGTTAAATGTGATCAGTACAATTTCGTATTACTATAAAACTCATTGAATCACTAGGCTGCTACTGTTAGGCCATAGTTTCTTACGTCATAAGTTTAGTTTTGTGTAAATTCAACACGATGAGTAAGTATGTAAATGAGTGTTGGATAAAGAATAACGCGTGTAGTTGTAAATATTATAGAAAGAGTAGTAAATACTGCAGTTTAGTAATATAACAAGTCCGACAGTAATCTTGTTTACAAGTTTGTTTACTTCTGAATGTTTTGATAGCATCAGTTTACTTCTATATGTTTTGGTTCATTTATATGTGTACAGGTTTTTTGAGGATATTGTATTTGTTGGCCGCTATTCTTTAATGTTTGCCTGTGATTAATTTTGCCTGTGTGTGATGTGTTCTGTTTTCTGATAGGTCATAGATAACTTTGCACATAGATGTAGTGCAAACAACAATTAATTGAACCATATGTGATATAGATAAAATTCTGTCGTGACATCAAGCTTTCATCATACACATAATAAAGTTTTTTATCATTTTACAATGTCATAAGGAAATTCAATGCAAAAACACAGCCCCTATTGCGTTAGAGAGATGAGATCAGGAACATAACATTTAAAGAAATTATTTAAATTGTTTGAAAAAAAAATGCGAGAAGCCCAAAAGCGATCTAAGTGGTGTGCAATGGGAGAGGCCTATGTCCAGCAGTGGAATGCGATAGGCTGATGATGATGATTTAAATTGTTTAAAATTGTCTTTTATGTAGACTCTAAGGTCGTAGATCAACACAAACATAATAGCAACAATCTCTGCTTTTTCAAATAGTTAGGATTTTTTTAATTAAAAATGATGCCTATACAAAATCTATGATATGCCTGTGCCGATCCACAACCACACGTTTCCAAGGGGTTGAGCCTTATCAGAAAAAAGGGCAAACAAACTCATGGCCACTCTTTTGCAATTTACAGATAAATACAATGGCATCATTAAATATACCACAACATTGTTCCAATGTATACATGATGTAATATGTACGGTCATACTGGCACACATTGATACAAATGAAGTTAATAGGGAGAGTTAATAAGATCTACAACTTTGCTCTAAGGTACTTTTTCGATAAAACTTACCGTTTTCGAGAAAAATCCAAAAAACCTAAAATTTTGACCTTGGGCCCGAATAAGTCCCTAAGCTCCCATGGGACTGATGGGGACTTTTGACACTTTATTCCTTGTGGTATACCTAAGGTCTCTACGAAGATTTGGCTCTGTCGGAATTTTCTTTATTTCAATTGTCTAAAATGACCAGACTATTAAGAAATAGCACCAAAATATTGCAGAATATTTTTGTCTTCTATGTAATCCACAATTAAGTAATAGGCTTTCTGACATAATTTACGTTTAATTGCAGATTTAAATTTGCTAATACTAGTCTTAAATATCATTTGGGATTTTATTATAAAATGGGACACATTGACCTTGAAACAACTTATATATCTTTTGGAGCCTATACTGTTTCCACTACCATAATTAAACACAAGTAACACAATAATGGATGATGTGAACCAAGCATTTACTAAGGGATATAAAAAATCTTCATATTGTGCCATTCATTAAGCAGGTATAGTCCAATGCAAATTGAATGGCTGCTCGGAACACAATGCATTTAGATGGACAATAATAGACAACAGAGGGACGTAAAAGAGCTCGGGGCAGCGCGACACTGCACATGCGCGCAAATTCCTGTCCATATACAGTCAAGTTGACTAATTTCAGAGCGGTCATGACGTTTGCATGGGACGATACAGGTGTATGTTTAATGAAGTGACCGGTGACCATCTAACTATAGTTCTTAGGGGAAGTTACTTGGATGGTTTGAGTCCAAAGCTTTCATCTTCTTTTGCAAGGAGGTGTTGAAACCGATAGCTAGAGAATGGAAGAAGACAAGTACGCCGGTCTTGCAAAAGACATGGTCTCAAAATTTAAATCTGATTGCCAGTATTAAGATGATATCTATAATCTATAATTTAAAATAGTATGTTTAATAATATGTTTAATTATTTTCATTTCTATAATATGTTTTATTTATACTTAAAACCACAATACATATGTACATGTAACAATGTATGTATAATGTAATAAAAGAAAAAAAATGGTATTGTAAAGATCAAAATATGCATTGTCATTATTATAATGTAGTATAGTGTATATATCTACCTTTTATTTACATAATGACATTCTATTACAATGTTGCAGTCCCAGTTCTATTAGTATTTATAATTAAAGTAATTGATTATTCAAACATGAACCCAGGAAGTATTATTTGTACTATGTAAAGTACTGTTAATTAATATATACATTTAAATAGTATTTTTAGTCAATAAATGTGACAATCATCCATACATATACTTCATAAATACTCAAAACTTCTATGATATTGTTAAACCTATATGGGTATCTTATGGCTGACTCTACTCAACAACAGCAATTAAAATAGTGCTGTTTACACTTATTTATAAAAGTACGTCCACAAATGGCACACACTTAGTGCTTAAGTTTGACTTGCCAGAGACCTTAATTGCCACCTTCTGTAAAACAGAAGCTGGGAACCAACCTCTCACTTTGGGTATGTTAACTACTGCTGACATATTACTAACAATTTCCTAAGTAAGCTAAGTATATAAAAAAAATCTTAGCATTATATAGTTTGTCATCTTTGTGTCAATCTGATGAAGGAGGTGGGTGGTAGAACTCTTCAGTGGCTACTAACGAACTCCAAGAGTTTGTGCGTAGATGATCTGATGGTCTGTGTGGTGACGAATCAAGAATATGGAATGTTACCACCCTTGTTTATCCCGTGGGTGTTGTAAAAGTTGGATAAGGGAGCAAACTATGCAGGGCAACAGTACTGCAAAGACGAGGAAAACTTGACACAAACTTGTCTGGCCAGTGTGGTATTATAAAGTAGACCAAAACCTCCTATCTAAGAAGAGGTCTATGTCCAGCAGTGAATTATCAAAGGCTGTTGATGGAATGGTGTGTGTGATCAGTTTTGACAAGTCAAAAGGATTACACTAGCCTATGATGGTCACAATTGCGCTAGGTTCATAGTAGAATTCTTTTAAACCATAATTTTACAAAGCAAGTGAACAACTAAATAAGGTGAATAAAATTCTTTTTCATCTGTCTGTCTTTATTTATCTGGGAACTGTGATAGTGATAACTCTAATTTAAGAATAGTAGTAGTATTCAGTAATGCACATGGTACTGTACAATACTGGTCACATTGCATTTTTAATTGTGTGATGAGCCATTCATCATATTTTGACCTTGTTTGTTATTACTCTAGATAGGTAGGCAAAATGTATTTTATCTGTTCATACCTCTTAGTCTTTTCCTTTTCGCTGAAGTAGTGTTGTCCACATAAATGAAAAGTTGAGCATGAAAAATGAAATGAAATGAGAGATTCGAACTTAGTTCTTGGAAACCAAGTTCTTGCCTAAGTTTTTTATGTAAACTGTGGGAAGCAAAAAAAAAAACAAACTAAGAAACCCATATTTGCATGTACATTTCACACATACTAACATTATAAAGCTGAAGTTTGTTTGTTCGATTGAACGCGCTAATCATCAGTGTTAGATAGCCTATTTATCGAGGTGGGCTATAGGCTATATACCATTACTCTACAACCAATAGGAGAGGAGTATCAATGAAAAATGTTGCAGAAACGTTTTTTGGTTTAATTTTACTCATATCTGAAACTAACAGTCAAAATAAAATAACAACATTTCGTATCGTTATTGTCACTAATTGACTATTTGTTGAATTGTCAAAATGAAAATGAAAATAAACGAGTGAACAAAGTAAATTATTAGAACAAGGTTGTCAAAAAATAAACACAAAGAGCTAGTTGCATGAAAACATCAGTCATATGACTTTTATTTGTACTCATATCAGCAGTCAGCAGTTAGATTTTAGTTCAAAGCTAAAATCACGTGTCTCGTCACTGTAGGTCAGTTGTGTAATGTACATGTCAGTCTTCGTTTGTATTGCACTAAAAACTATGTCAGGTTCATCGAGCTTGTAACTAAATGTTCCAATCAAATAAATAGGTCATGATTCTTTTGTTATAATGAACAGTCAGGCGACGTGGAATATGTATGATGGAATAATAAAAGCACTTGAAACTGACTTAACGCCAGGATCGCTAATGCGAATCACAGGAAAAGTCTTCAAACTACTCAAATCTAAAACAATGAAATAACTAAAACTGAAAGAAAAAGAAAAGCTATGGTTACTCTTTGCCAAACTAAATATTAGCCATATATTGGTTACTATTAATTGACTAGCTGATGTACACTTACTGTACCCCTATGGGCACCATATACGTCACAACCTATTAGGGATACAAAACTGCGAGGTTCTCGTTGGCACACGTGGAATTGATATTTATTGTTATCAAAGCTCACTGCTTTATTGTTAATATAATAATATTAATGCAAAAAATACACCATAAAATAAAAATAAAAACTTAAAGATGCGAAAGATTCAAACGAAGAACCGCAAGAAAAGTTTCTTTGTATTAAATTTTAAAATACAGAGGCGTTTGAAAGATACTCGTACATGTATTTTACATGTCATTTACTAGTTATAACTCATATTGTTAGTTTCACTTGGTTGGATAAGATATCTACGATTTATAAATATGTCATGTCATTTGATCACACACATCATCGCATCGGCAATAGGCTTGACCACTATTATTATAATGATA